AACCGATGGACCTGAAGGGCTGGGCCGCCGGGACCAGGAGGGGGCTCACCACCAGAGGCTCCACGATCCACCAGCCCGAACCACACGATATCCGTGCCCTGCACCCAATCGTACTCATCTTCATCTGGTGAGCGCACGCTGACGGTGAAACCACCCCCCGGCTCGATGAGGATGGGCCGCTCGTGGTAGATCGGCTGCCCTGGAACGTTCTAGTTACAGAACATCACCAGAGTCGCCTGCTCCGATGCCCATGCTCTGAACTGGGGGAACAACGTCCATCTTACACCCCTCTTGTCCGCCGCTGCCTGAGCAAGGTTAGCTGCTCCTGCGCCACTTGTCCCACGTCGGCGTCCTGGTCGTCCAGCGCCAGACCACCGGCAGGCCGCGCGGTTGGAGCGGCACGCCTCGCGGCGCGCCCGGTGCCCCACACCGCGAGGCAGGTCGAGCCCAGGCAGACGAGCCCAGCCAAAACCAGCAGGCTGGCGACCAGCAGCCAGGTGCTCAGGTTCGCCGCGTCGAACGCGCCGCTTCCCACCCGCTCGGGCGGGGTCGGCGCAGGCGCGTCCGAGCAACCCGGGCAGGCTGGCAGCGCAGCTATCGCGGGGCACTGCGGGCAGGAATGGCGCGGGGGGCGGTTTGGGGCAGGAGACAAAATACATGAGCGGAGCCTCCCACACCCACTGTAGCTTCTGGGGCCGCATCCGAGCATGGCCCGAGAAGCCCCAAGGAGGCCTCCAAAAGACCCCGCGCGATTAAAACACTTCCTCCAGCGCGCCCCCAAGAGGCCTCCAGGACGCCTCCAAAAAGCCCCCCGGATCGGCGGCACTGGCCGGAGGCCACTACAATACATAAGCGAAGCCTCCCACACCCACTGTAGCCTCTGGGGTCACATCCGAGACCACCCGAGGGCGTCCCCGAAAAAACTAGAGCCTAACGTTGTTCGGCCCCGCTCCTCCCTCTCCCACTTCCTGCGTTCCATCCACAGAGCAGGGACCGACCGTCCCTTCGTTCCCATAGTCCTACCACGCCACGCATTGAGAGAACGTGATCCACCGCCGCTTTACTGTGGAAAATTCCGCCCCCTCATCCGGAGCCCGGGGTTCCCCCCCCCCGAAAATCCCCCCCCCCCTCCCTGCTGGAACCCCCCCCTCCCCCCCTCCCCCCCCCCCCCTCCCTCCCCGGCAAACCTCCCCCCTCCCCTCCCCCCCCCCCTCCCCCTCGAAAGCCGGGGGGGGGGTCACTACGGTTCGAACCCCTCCTGAAAACCAGAGGGGGGGTCACTACCGGTTCGAACCCCTCCCCCCCCCTCACCGCCAGCAAACCACTCCCGATCCCTACCACCGTCCGCACCACATCCCCCACTAATGTTCCCAGCGCCACTGTCCTCACCACCACTGCCCCCGCTGGTTCCACCACCGTCCCTACTGTCCGCACCAGTGCCCCCACCACTGTCGCACTGTCCCCACTGTCCCCGCCACTGTTCCCACCACGGTTCCACTCTCCCCACTTTCTCCACGGCCCCAACCACTGCCCGACTATCCCCAGTGTCCCCACTGTCCCACTGACTCCTCCGCTGTCCCACTGAGCTGTCCCACTGTTCCCACCACTGTCCCCACTCTCCCCACACTGTCCCCACTGTACCTCTGTCCCATTGTCCCACCGCCGTCCTCGCCACCGCCGTCACCATTGTCCCCACCACCACTGCACCCTCCACTGTCCCACTGTTTCCACCACTGTCCCCACTGTCCCCACACCACTGTCCCCACCACCACCGTCCCCACCACTGTTCCCACCATTGTCCTCACCATTGTCCCCACCACTGTCCCACTGTCCCCACCACTGTCCCGCTGTCCCCTCACCACTGTCCCCACCACCACCGTCCCCACCACTGTCCGCACCCCTCCCCGGTTTTCGAGGAGGGGGGGGGGGTCGAACCGGTAGTGACCCCCCCCGGTTTTCGAGGGCGGAGGGGGGGGGGTTCAAACAGGGGGTGACCCCCTCTCCTTTTCATGATGGACGGGGGGGGGGGAGAGGGATTCGAACCGGTAGTGACCCCCCCCCGTTTGCCGGAGGGGGGGGGGAGGGGTTCGAACCGGTAGTGACCCCCCCCGGTTTTCCGCCAGCAGCGGTAAAACACGCTCTTTCCAATGTTCTTAGAACCCAGAAATGCCCCAAAAACAAAAACACTGTTCTTAGAACATAAGCCCGATGTGTTGAAACAAGGCCGTCCCAGCCAGAAATGTTCTAAGAACCTTTCGTGGATACCACAAACGGTTATTAGAACATTGTTTGGTAGGCCTATAGGCACGCCGGGACGCTTCGCCACTGCGTGAATCCAGACAGTCGAAACCATAGCATAGAAGAGACAGTAATAACGCAAGTTTGAGTGTGATGTCCAGATCGCATTGAACAGTATGGTTACACAATGCAGATGCTGTGCCCGAACACACACGAATATCACATACTGTCACGCGACATACCAGAAGCCACAAGGCCGCATAATACCGCCGAATGAAATGTCATACAATAAAATTGGAAGTAACAGGACACGGAAGGACAATATATTGTATACAACACGTAAGGCAACACACCATACCATACAATAACCCAATACATGAGGATAGTCCAGAATCGAACATGGCTAAATATAACGGAAAAAGGAAACACCAGCGACCGATTCACGACGTTCTATCAAGCGCGACATGCTCGCCGAGGTCAGGCTGACCACGGTAACGAAGAGGCCCAAAACCGACCGATTGGAAGACGCATCAATCATGACAGGCGTCACGACGTAACGCCGGCCCATCCAGAACAGAACATAACATACTAGAGTGTAAGAGAAGAAACTATCAGTGAACATCCATTACAATTCATGACAGTAGAACACAGCAGCGACCGATTAGCGGCGCCCTATCAAACGCAACATGCGAACCGACGAAAGCCTGGCCACAGGAATACGCCATGTATGAATAGAACATAATCGAACGTGCTAAACTAGTATCCAGCTCCAACCGAGTAATCGCGTTTGATCCACATGCGCGCCGAGCTCAGGCTGGCCACAGTAACAAACAGTACCAGACTCGATAACAGATGCAGGAACTTTCGGTATGTATCGCTCGAAACAAAACAATTGTATATTTTCGTCGTCATCGTCCTCTCCGGCGACCCACCCGCGACCCACCCGCGACACACCCCGCGACCCACCCCGCATGTGTCCCCTGACTCTTATCCACAATTTCGGGGTGGCTCGTTACTTTTTGCTCCTCTGATTCTCTCCACTCGGCTTCGAGAACAGATGAAACATCCTGCGCGGGCGAGCTGCTCTCACGTGGGAGCATGCCGGTGCCGAACTGACCATGCTCAGAGAACACAGTATGGGCCGTCGGCCCATCGCATACCACATGGTGGAGCACTACAGACAAAGAACAACGGGCGGGTTGGACAGAATCACCACTCATACAGCGAGGCTGCGAGCACAAGCGACCTGATGCACCCTGGGCAGTCGGTACACTGACGCTGGGTGCTGTGAGGCCACACGTACCTGTGTTTCAGAGGAAGAGGCTGGGAGGAATGCTGCTCCTCCGGACTCGATCACTCTGCGTTCAATGAGAAGGGAGCCAACAGCCAAACGCAATCGTCAAACGACGCTTGCATAAACTACCACCTGCCACACGGGATTCACAATTATTGTTCAAGGTATGATGCGTGCACTTTGTAGCGGGACACCATTGGGAACCGCGCTTCTGGGAAAGAAGGTACCGAGCCGTAGAACCACGCGGGGGGAAATCGAGCCTCGAAAAACACGCCTCCCTGCTCCTTCGCGGCACCCTCCAGGCCCCATTCGACGATCGCAGCGGGTGGCAGTGTCGCCTCGAAAACAGGCAAGTGCTTGAACGCACGTTCCTGGACATCTTTCAGAACAGCCTGCAACTCCACCTTTGCCGCCGCCTGAAGGTCACGAAGAGCAGCACGCTTATCCACTTCCTCTTCTGGGACTGGGCTATCGGTCACTGCTGCGACGTAAGTAGAACTATCCTTTACGTGTTTGGCATACAGGGGCACTGCGGCATAGTCCGCGCCACTGTGCTTTCCTAGGCTCATTGCGTGGACGATCCACTCGAGGCCAAACTTTACGCCATCGAACGCATCGGACCAGTCTGCCGACAACATTGTGCTGCTCTCGGTTGCGTGGTGGTCCGCGAGGCGATGGCCATTCCTGTGCGACGCCTCGCAGTCGAAGCGATACACGCTGGCAGGCAGCAGGTCGTCCGCGAGCAGCGTCACGCCCGCCTCCTTCATGCGGCGCAGCACCGGCAGCAGCGTCTCCTTCAGGCGATGCGGCAGCGGGCCCTGCTCCCCGAAGAACCTGGAGAAGTGGGCGTCCTGCGTGTACTCGGTCACCTCGAAGATGATCCGGCCCGGCGCGCAGTGGGTCGCGTCGATCACCAGGCTCTGGACCTCCAGCAGGAGCCACTCCGAGGGCCGCAGGTTCACGCTGATGGACGGCAGGTTCGGGAAGACCTCCAGGGCGCTCACGGCCGCCTTGATCTCGAGGCCCTTGAACTGCAGGTAGAGCTCCACGTCGGAGTCGAGCAGGTTCTCGAGCACGTCCACCACGAGGCCGACGCCCCAGGTGCCGGTGTGCAGCGCCAGGAGGCTCTCCAGGCCGACAAGCCTCGACTGCTCCTTGTTCTCGCGCGCCTCCCATACTGGCTGCAGCCCGAACGAAAACAGTCTTGACTGGTTATTATCGTACGCGACCTCCACAAGAGGCTTCCCTCTGTTCGCATCTCGCAACATCCCCTGGAGCGCCTCTACGAACAGCTCCTGCTTATCCTGCAGGGGCATTGCGAAGAGGGGCTTTGGCAGCTGCATAGGTCGATACACACTCCTGGTCAACACGTCTGGATAGCTAGCGGCCACAAGCTCGAACATCTGCTGCTGATTTAGTAAAGACATCCTGCACCCCAGACGCCAGGCAGGGGCTTGAGCCAAAGTGGCTACGGATCGAAGGACACACATCGTCGGAGATCTGCATGGATTGGGACAGCATCGACTGGTCGACTGGTTTCTCGTCGCCGACAAGGCGCGGCCGCCCACCGCGGCAAGGTGTCACTCGGCCTTGTCTGCGGCGCCAGGGCAGCACGCGCACGCCGTGCAGCAGCGGTGCGCTGTGCCCGCCGCGAGCAGCACGCCGAGCGCCCAGGGGAGCCAGGCGGCCGCCGCACCCGGCAGCTGCCAGGAGGCGGGCTGCGGCATGCTCGGATCGGCGGCGAGACCAGGGGGAAAATGTAGTGGCTTCGGGTTCGATAGGTCTTCGGGCTGTTTTCGTTCGTTCTAGGTGGTGTTCCAGCCTCGGGATGCGTTACAGCGGCTGCGCCTCGCCGAGAACGCTCTGGGGGTGCCCACGATCTTCTCGAACGGCCGCAGGAAACAAAAAGTTACGAGCCGAAAGCCAAACGACAAGGATCTTGGAGGGGGCAGGCCTTCTCAGAAAGTGGCGAGGCCTATCGGGAGCCATCGCGCCTTCTGGGAAGCCACCCGTGTCTGCAGAGAGGGACGCGATAGCTTCTCAGAAAGCCGGAGGCCTTCTGATCCTTCTGAGAAGGCCCACCCCCTCTGCCGGAGGAAGAGGAGGAGAAGAAGGACGAGGATGAGGATGAGGAGTATGAGGGGGGGGAGGAGGAGGAGGAGGAGGAGGAGGAGGAGGAGGAGGAGGAGGAGGAGGAGGAGGAGGAGGTGGAGGAGGAGGAGGAGGAGGAGGAGAAGGAGGAGCTTCCCCCCCTGGGCTCGCCGCCGATCGGCGGGAGAGGAAACTGCATAGTTGTGGACTTTCGAAACGCCGCGCGGATTTCTCGGATTCGCGCGGGGCCCCCTCCCTGGCGCGCAGAGCGCGCCAGGGAGGGGGGGCCGGCGCCGACCCGAGAAAGCCGCGCAGAACTCCGAAAGTTTCTGTGTACGTATGCAATTCCATCCTCCTCGAATGCTGTCGGCGCGCTGGGGCAGCGACTTCTCACCAATCCCAGGGCTCACCCTCTTCATTGCCTCGCCGAGCGTGCCGCGCATCCTGGAGACGGCGCGGCCGATCCTGGCATCGCCGGGAGATACCCAGCGCATAGTTCCACCAGCCCGCAAGGATCGGTAGCGCACCGATGCCCCCGACGCCCCCGTGAGAGGCGACGACCTCCAGAGGACCTCGGCGACGGCGGGCGCCTCCTGGGAGGCGGACGGGGCCTCGATGGTGATGCCCAGGCTGTGCAGGACGGTCTTTGGAAACAGCGGCACGGCGCCCAGGACGTACTCGTCGGTGGTTCCCACTGCGGGCGCGTACAGTCCGAGGGCACTCAGGACAAACCAGGCGCCCATCTCACCGTTGTCCTCGTCGCCGACGAAGCCGCTCGTCGAGTACGCGCGGGAGAGCACCTGCCGCACGAGCTGCGCAGTTGAGTTATGGTCGCCGAGCATGGAGAAGAGGTACAGCACGTGGTGCACCGGCTGGTTGTTGTGCGCGTACTGCCCCATGCCGAGCATGCGCATCTCGCGCATTTCGTGTATCGTGGTCTTGTAGGACCCGACCTGAAAGGTGGCGGGCGTCGACAGCAGGTCCCGCAGTCGAGCCATCAGTGCTCCTCGCCCACCGTGCAGCTCGAGCAGCGCTGGCAGGTTGAACGGCGGGAAGGAGTGATGCCACGCAGACCCCTCGATGAAGCAGTTGCCCCACGTGTTGCCCTCCTTCGAAGAAGCAGGAGTTACATAAACATATAGACAACGGCTGTGGGAGGTCCGCGCGGGTGTCTGGGATCGGCGCGCCGCCACGGTGGTCACGGTGTCGATCCGAGAAATCCGCGCGCGGGGCTGCGAAAGTTTATATGTTTGTGCAGCTGTCTGTTCCCCGACTTCCTGGGTCGAGAAATTGCCGTCCTTGCCGAGGGGTCCCATGAGGCCGCCTGTCGCGCGGAAGAGCGCCTTCAGCGCGCGCGCGCTCCTCTCGCGCAGCCTCTGGGCATCCTCTGGGTGCGCCAGTTGGTCCGCCGCTGCCGCCGAGGCGGCGTCGGCAAAGGCAAAGTCCAAAGTCCTGGACATCGAACGTGTATAAAGATCCACCTCCTTTCCCCCTCCCTCCTCAGAATGCCTTCCTCCTTTCTGGGGGAGGGGAGGGAGGGGAACGAGGTGGATCTGTACCGTTGTCCCCCTCCGAAATCCTGGAGCAGGACTCGGCGATACCAACGTCCGCGGGGACAAAACCTAGACTGTCGTAGTAGGAAAGGCCATGCTTCCCCCTGGCAGTGTCGTTCGGGTCGCTTGACTGGTAGCAATCCTTCCGGATCGCCTCCCACGCCAAGGCTGTGTCGAAACCGGGTATGTGCTTGAGTATCGCGTCCGACACAACAACGTCGGCAAAGGTACCAATCATACTGTTGCGGTAGCCTGGGCTGGCCCACTTCGGAAGCCAGCCGCCATACTTGTAGGCGTTTAACCACCCCTGCACGAGCTCGCCAAGCTGCCTGGGGTAGGCCAAAGCCAGCAACGGGTACACCGTCCGAAACGTGTCCCAGAAACCGTTGTCTGTCACCCCGATGCCGTCGTGGACCCTCCCGTCGTAGGGGCTCCAGTGGAACACGCCCTCCGCCGTCTGCTCGTCCAGGCGGCGAGGGAAGAGCAGCGCTCGGTAGAGGCAGGTGTAGAATATCCGGAGCCGCCGCGACGTCGAGGCGGCGTTCGGCCCCGCGTCAGCGACCTCCACCTGCGCCAGCTGAGAGTTCCAGGTGTCCCTCGCCACGGCCGCCAGGGCCTCGAACGGCCGCCCGTGCACCTCCTGCATGAACGCGGCGAAGCTCTGGGTTGACGAAATGGTCGAAGAATAATGCATGCATAAACGTGTCGTTACCGAGGAGCCCCACATGCTCATCTTATGTCGTGTGTGTGTGTGTGTGCATGACCTGTGTCGTATCCCGCTTTCCCGAACGTTCAAACATAGTGTGGTGCATCTTGGCGACACCTACGCAATGTCTCAACGTGTGCAGCGCAGCAGTGCGTAAACATCCTCAATGCTCCCCTCTTCCCTTTTCAATGTTGGTTCCCTCCCATTCCGCCCTTGTCATATTCATTCCTGCGCGGCGGTACGCAGCTCTTCGACATGAAGCCCACTGGTTGCGAGAGTGCGACGGCCACGGCAACCGCGCCCTGCGGACCATCCGCGATGTCGAGAAAGTGCCACGCAGGCAACGCTTTGCGAGCCTGCGACGGATGTAGCGCCCACCCCTGTGCACACCACTTGTGGTGTCGACGAAATGCCAGTATGCCAGCCTGCCACTCCTTGCGTTCAGGGACTAGTTGTGGCAGCGGGGCCGACAGTAATATATATATATATATATATATATATATCGGACTTGAACCATGGCGCCCAGAGTCCACTAAGGTAACGTGCGTGCCAGAACTGCTCTACTTGTGGTAGCCAGCGACTGCGATTACTAGTACTCGTACTAGTACCACCCTATTGATACGCAATCTATGCGGCGCACTGGATGCGATGCGGCGACGGCGACAGGCGGCGACGGGCGGCGCGGGCGGCGACGGGCGGCGACGGGCGGGGGTGGCGGCGATGGGCGGCGACGGCGACAGGCGGCGACGGGCGGCGCGGCGGCGATTTTGCGGCGGCGGCCCCGAGATGGTTAGCCGAAGTAAGAACCTCTAATGCTGCATGCACTGCTTCGGGAAAAACTATATTCGCGCCAGGCCTGTATTGGACATCGGGCGCCCGAAGCGATATCGATGTGAACGTTCGTCAAACTGTCTGGTAGTTTCGGCAGCTCTGGCCCAGTCGAGTCGACGACCAGATGAGGGAGGAGAGAGAGAGAGAGCAAAAAAACGAAGAGAAAGAGAGAGAGAGAGAGGGAGAGAGTGACAGAGAGAGAGAGAGAGAGAGTAACAACACATAAAGAAATAAACAAGACAACAACATGTGGGAACTAACGAGAGCGAGCACGCGAGCAGAGGCCGAGGCATCCTGCTGGCCTCGTCGACTCGAGACCCCAATCATCGAGACTCCTCTGCTTCCAGCGTCCTATGGGACGCCGCGTGAAATCGACCGTTTTCGTTCGGACGTTTGGCGGCGGGCCTGCGCCTCTGCGGGCCCCTCCGCCAGCGCCAGCCTGCCGGGCGCCGAGATCTGGGACAGCGCCGCGTTCGACTTGCCAATGCGCCATTAGCAGGCCGGCCCGCTGGCATCTTGGAGCGGGGGGGCCATCGCACTACCCTGTGGCATTCGCGAGGCCCTCGGACACGATGGCTAACTCTAGTGCAGTGCGTTTATCTTGAGAAGAAGCGCCCCCTTCCTTCATCGCAGTATCGTGCGAAGATCTGGCATCGACGAACTGCAACCGAGTGGCCCTGCCACTATCCAGAGTGCGCTGCGATCTCAGCACCGAGAAGCTGGAAGCCCGCGAGCAGTCTGGAAACATCATGGACAACCACGTCACGACACAATGAGGCGCACAGTCTACCTCAGACACCGACGCGGAAAGCGAGAGCGCTTCTCTGGCCGAAATGCAAATGGGCCCCTCTCTTGCGCCTGCAACTGCGCCATCCGCTCACCGGAGCGTTCACTGGGCGCTTTCGAACCCGATCCGCGCGAGGGGCGGGGATCGCGCGCGCCCCTTGGGCGGGGTCGGCCAGGAGGGCGTCGTCGCCGCGCACCCCGGCAGCGGCCCCCGCGCCGCCGGCGTCGGGATATGTCGCGAGAGCCGCGCGCTCGCGGTGCAAAGCCCAGGCCGCAAGCCCCCGAGAAGCGATCGCCAGCGGATGCCCGGCGAGCTCTCGCTCGCGCGCATCACGCCCCGAGCGGTGGGGGCCGCCAGTCGGGGCGCGCCAGCATGCGAGCCACTCCACGCGCTTCTGGGCGACGCCTGCGACCTCCCCAGTTCGGGCGGTAGACGAGGGTGGCGCGGGGCGCGGATCTCCTCCCCGCCGAGAAAGTTGCCGGGGATCATGCTCATGGGGGGCGGCCTCTTCTAAGTTGTACCTCGCCATGTCCACAAGAACCTTCGGTCGACAATGTGTCGACGCCCTTCCCGCGTAGCCCACCAGCCCCTCGCGGCAATCTCGGCCATGTCGAACTGAAGCCCGCTCTCGAGACTCTCCCCGAGTCGCTTCCGCTCGGCTGCCCTTCTGGGCGTCATAAAGAAGTCGTCGACTTCCCGCGCGATCGCGCTGATGCTCTGCTCGCGAGGGCCATGCCGAACATGCCGACACGGCCCCGACTCGACCAGCTCCCCGGCGACGGTGCGCCTCCCCAGCGAAGGGCGCGTCGTGCAGGCCATGCGCGTTCGCGAGAGGCTGGGTGAGACTGCCCGCGGGGGGCGGGGGCCCGGGGGCATTGCGCAGATGCCCCGGTCAGACCTGCCACTTTGACGGGGCGCGTTCCCGACGTCCGCGATGTCGCATCTCATTTGTGAATTCATCGCCGCCGGGAAAAACGTCGTGACTGGTCTGGGGGGTCGGTGCCCGGGCCCTGGCGACCGTGGACGCGCCGCCGCGACAGCGCGGCGGGAGACTTGAAAGTCCCCTCCGTGTCCACCGGCGAACCACCTGGAGCTCATGATGCGCCCCGGCGCCGCCCACCGCGCGGCCGCCGCCTCCTTGGGGGAAATCGCCTTCGCAGCTTTGGAACTAGGGGTGCTTCCGCGCGTCGGACTTGGCCCGCCCCTCTGGAGACGGCCTGCCCGTCGCGTCCGAGCCGCGCCGGATGGCGCGCGAGTCCGAGCTGCGTGAGCTGGGCGCTGATGAGGCCGAGCCTCCGGGGCCTTCTTCGCCCGCGAAGCGCCTGCGGCAGGTTCGTGTCGTGCCGACCCCAGCGTTGGTTTTTGACACCGCGGGGATCGTTCAACCTTGAACGATCGGCCGTTTCCGCAACGTCCAATCGTTCAACATCGATCGATTCTGGGCCGCCGCCGGCGTTCAAAGTTGAACGCCGCTGGCGGGGTCGCCGCCGGTCGACACGACACGAACCTACCGTGGGGATGCTGCCCGCGGCGACGGCCTGGAGGCCGCCCTCCGAATCCACCGTCGCCCAGAGCGGCGCGCCTGGGGCTGGCGGTCGCTCGGACTGCGCCCCCCCTCGGCGGTCGCCGCGCAGCTGCGGGGGCCTCCCCCGGGGCGCTCCGGGCTGGCGAGGTCCGCCGGTCTCGATATCGGCCACCTTCCGCAGGGTCGCGCCGAGCGAGCGGGGCTCGGTGAAAAGAATCTCCGGCCCCCCCCCCCCGGGCGCGGTCTTTTCGGCTCCGACTCGGGCCCGCCCGACATCGCTCGCGCCCGGGGGCCGAGCGCAACCCTTCCCGACTTCATCGGGCAATCGCTGGCACGTCGTCTGGCTGAACCAGGGTCTTGCGACTGCAGACCCGCCAATCGTGAAACGCGGAATCGGTCGGATAGGGCAACGCCAGACTGCCGGCGGCCGAGGACTCGGACTCAGACCTCGACCCCTGACCCCTGACCAGGTGGAAGAGGAGGAGGAGGAGGAGGAGGAGGAGGAGGAGGAGGAGGAGGAAAACAAAACGAGGAGGAGGAGGAGGAGGAGGAGGAGGAGGAGGAGGAGGAGGAGGAGGAGGAGGAACACGCCATCTTCTTCGGCAATCGAAAGGGGACGAGCGGATCCCGGACTGACTGGTGCCGGGGGCTCGACATGAGACGCGGGCCCCATGGGGGGAATGACCTCGGCCTCCGGAGCTGGCCCAGAAGGCCTAGGGCCTATGCCAATCGCGTCGGCCTGGAGAGGCTGGGCCCGGGCGCCCTCCCCGCGTCGACCGCAGAGGCCCTCCGAGACGACGCCCGCCGCTGCGGCCCCTGCCGCTTGGAATCTTCTCTGAACTGGCGGGCCGCGCCTGGGCCGAAAAACGCTTCCACTGGCGCGGGCGCGCGGGCGCCCGCGCGGCGCCGCGCTCGCGGGGGGCCGCCAGTCTGGGGCCACGCCGAGCGCCCGCTCGAACCCCCGCAGAGCCCCGTCGGGAGGAGGCCCGCGATAACTCGCCCCCCATCAAGACCCACTGCCCAGGCGCGCACTTCCGAAGAGTCGAAGGTGCCATGGCCGCGCTGGCTCGCTGAATCTGGTCCCGCCGCAACCTCCCGGGCGAGCTTCGCGCCCGTTCTCGCGCCGACCGGGCCCGGGCGCGCTCGGCCCCGGCTGGGCCCCGTTCCCGAGGGGGGGCGCGCGGAGCCCTGCCCACCTGGGAAGCCAAGGTGATCGTCACTTGACACCTCGCGCGGGGTCCTCGGATTTTCCCGGAAGACGATCGGGGTCGTGAAAATGCCCCTGGTGCCAGACGCGATCCTCGTGACTAACCAGCTCAATGGCGATGGAATCGAACTCGTTGACGCATCGAGGAAGGTCAGGGCCTGCGTCGACCTCCGCCTGGCGCGAATAGAGACCGCGGTGAGGGACCACGCCCGGCGCACCCCCGTCTGGTGTCGAGAACGTGCCACGCCTGCTTGGCCCTGCGACATTGGCGCGTGTAGAGACCGCGGTGAAGAACCACACGCTGCACACCCTCCACTGTCGAAAAAGTGCCACGCCTGCTTGGCCATGCGCTATTGGGACGTGTAGAGATCGAGGGGAGGGTCCACCCTATACGTACCCCCTTCGGGCGTCGTGAATCGCACGCTTGCTAGGCCCCTGAGAGATTGGCGCGTATAGAGACCGTAGTGAGGGACCACCCCCTGCGCACCCCCTCTGGTGTCGCGAAAGTGCCAGTGCCATGCCTGCTATGCCTTGGACGACCGACCCGAAGCATGAGTGTATTCTGTTTGTGTGTGTGTGATGTGTGTGCGCCCTGATGCATACGTCTGGGGTGTATGGTGCGTTGGTGTTGTGTGTGCACGGCTATAATGTGTGTGTGTGTGTGTGTGTGTGCAAGTGTATGATGCGTGTGTGTGTGTGTGTGTGTGTGTGTGTGCGTGTGTGTGTGTGTGTGTGTGTGTGTGTGTGTGTGTGTGGGTGTGTGTATGCGTGTGCGCGCGAGAAGGACGAGGAGCGGGAGAAGGGGAAGTGACGGGACGGGACGGGAGAAGAAGACGTGGGTGGGGCGAAAACTGGAGCCCCATTAGGCCTGGGGGGGAAATAAACTCTCGGAGCTCCACGCGAATTTCTTCATTGACTACCCACCAGACCACCCCAACCCAACCCGAAGACCCGAATTTCGGGTTGGGGGGGTAAGGGTACCACATGTGTTTTTTCGATGTTTCCCGACACCCCCCCCACTGGAAATCGAGAGTAAATCTGAGCCTTCGGGTTGGCTTGGGGTGGTTTGGTGGGTGGTGATTCATCGGGCTGAACCCCCTCCCTGGCGCGTGGAGCGCGCCAGGGGCGGCGCCGGAGGCGTGGCCAAGGGGCCCAGGCGGCGGGGCCCAGATCCGAGAAATCCGCGCGGAACTCCGAGCAATTATGTTCATGCCCCTTTGTTCTTCGAGATGAGCGAGGTGCCGATCCGCACCTCCACCTGCGTCCGCTCCCCGGCGAGGAAGCAGCACTCCCGGCTGCCCACCGGCTGCACCTGCCCGTCGCAGTCGGCGGGTCCGGAGACGGCGCCCTCAGCCCTCTGCAGGACCATCGGCTCGTTGAGCAGGTAGCAGCTCCCGTCGTCCAGATAAGAGAACTTCTCGCACCCCAGGGCGAGAAAACACCTCTCCTGGCACTTCTGGGCGCTGCCCGCCTTCTTCTTCGGGTGCCCCCTCATGGTGAGCGCTCCGTCTTTTTTGACGTAGCGTACATCCCGCTCGAAGCACCAGTCCGTCTCCTCCCGCTCCTCCGCGTTCAGCCCCTCCGCCTCGAGCCAGGCGTAGAGCGCAAAGTCGGAGCCCAGGGGCACGCCTTGTGCGAACTTGCGCGAGACCAAACTGATCTCGCCAAACTGCGCGCTGCAGGAGCCGGTGGGCCTGTCGGAAGCCTCGGCGGCGCGCGCTTCGTCCTCGTCCCTCGCGAGCCCGCGCGGCACCAGCACGCAGACGCGCCGCTTGTCCGCCGGCACGACGTCCGGGAATGTCACCCGCAGAGCGGCGCCGTGCTGCGTGGGCACCAGCTCGGTGCGCACCCCGTAGGGCCCGGCGGTGATGTCGATCGAGTGCGGCTGCAACGCCCCTGCCGCGCGGTACGAGGTGAAGCCCACCCACTCGTCCTTCGGGGAGCCCTGGAAGGGCCGCAGGAGGAACCAGCCGTAGTCACCTATCCAAGGCGACGGCTGGTGCGTGCAGCGGATGCCTCGGAAGGTGTCGGAGTCGGCGTCGAACCACCAGCTCGTCTTGTCGCTGTTCGACTGGGGCGCCCAGTGGTTGAAGCCCCACGGCAGCGCAGCGAGCGGCAGCGTGCTCCCCCCACTGTGGTGCTGCCCGATGCGCTCGCCGCCCGCCGCGCCCGACAACACGTTGACCCAATCCACGGGTTCGGTCACCGGGAACGCCACGGCTTCATGTGGGCAGCCCCGAAGAAGCCACGCTCCGAATAGCTGAGGCCAAAGAGAGGGCGCCCCTGCATGGAGCCATGGCATAAGAGGGCCTGGCCGTCACGGTCGACCGCGGCGGCGCCTGGCCCCTTGGCCAAAATGGCTACGGAACGCCCACAAGATTGTCAATCATGCTGTTACGGTAATCTGGGCTGGCCACTTCGGATGCCAGCCACCACGCAGACAGATGTATGCCCCTTCTACTGAATCGAATCTGTCTGAAGGGGAAACGACAGGACCGAGTCCGAAATTTGACCTTTGGTACGCCCACCCACACGTTTCGTTCAACCCCGCCGCGCGGCCCGCATGCGTCCCCGCCGCCCATTTCGGTACACCCTTCACACGCTTCGCGGCTTCATAGGAGCTCCACCGAAGGTCCCAATGGCGCAGCCCGCGTGCGTCCCCGCCACTCATTTCGGCACGCCCCTCACGCGTTTCGTGGCCCCAGAAGAGCTCCACCGAAGGTCCCAGTGGCGCGGCCCGCATGCGCCCCCGCCTTCCATTCTGATGCACCCACCGCCTGTAAGGAACTCCGCCGAAGGCCCCAGTGGCGCAGCCCGCATGCGCCCCTGCCGCCCATGTGGGCACATCCCTCACACGTTTCGTGGCCCCATATGGAGCTCCACCGAAGGCCCCACTGGCGCAGCCCGCATGCGTCCCCGCCATCAATTTCTGCACACCCCTCGCACGCTTCGTCGCCCCATGGGGAGCGGCGCAGCCACAATGTCTCCGCCATCCTTTTTTGCAAACCCCTCACCCGTTTCGTGGCCCCAGAAGAGCTCCACCGAAGGTCCCAGTGGCGCAGTCCGCATGCGTCCCCGCCGCGAATTTCGGCACACCCATCAAACGTTTCGTGGCCCCGTAAGAGCTCTACTCAAGGTCCCAGCGGCGCAGCCCGCATGCGTCCCCGCCACCCATTTCGGCACACCCATCACACGCTTCGTGGCCCCATAAGAGCTCCACCGAAGGTCCAAGTGGCGCAGCCCGCATGCGTCCCCGCCACCCATTTTGGCACACCCCTCACACGCTTCGTGGCTCCACAGGGAGGTCCGCCGAAGGTGCCAGCGGCGCAGCCCGCATGCGTCCCCACCACAAATTTTGACATACTCCTCACACGTTTCGTGGTCCCGCATGGAGCTCCGCCGAAGGCCCCAGTTGCTCAGCCTGTATGCGTCCCTGCCACCCATGTTTGTACACCGCTCACACGCTTCGTGGCCCCATAAGAGGGAGCTCCACCGAAGGTCCCCGAGGCGCGGCCCGCATGCGCCCCCGCAACACATGTCGGCAAACCCCTCACACGCTACGTGGCCCCATAAGGAGCTCCAATGAAGGCCTCAATGGCGGCCCCGCCCCATTCCGGCTCACCCTTCACGCGCGTAGTGACCCCACAAGGCGCTCCCCCGAAGGCGATGCTCCCAGCACCGCTGTCCACACCACCACTGTTCCCACTGTTCCCACCACCGTCCCTACTGTCCCCACCAGTGCCCCCGCCACTGTCGAAGTGTCCCAACTGTGCCCACCACTGTTCCCACCACGGTCCCACTCTCACCACTTCCCCACGGTCCCCACAAGTGTCCCACTGTCCCCACTGTCCCACTGTCCCCGCCGCCGTCCCACTGAGCTGTCCCGCTGTTCCCACCACTGCCCCCACTGTCCCCACCACTATCCCCACTGTACCTCTGTCTCCTTGTCACACCACCGCCCTCGCCACCGCCCTTACCACTGTCCCCACCACCACTGTCCCCAGCACTGTCCCACTGTCCCCCACTGTCCCCGCCACTGTCCCGCTGTCCCCACACCACTGTCCCCACTCTCCCCACTGTCCCCACATCACTGTCCCACACCACTGTCCCGCTGTCCCCACCAGTGTCTCACTGTCCCCACTCTCCCCGCCATTGTCCCACCACGGTCCCACTCTCTCCGTTGTCCCCACTGTCCCCACCACTGTCCCACTGTCCCCACTGTTCCCGCCACTGTCCCACTGTCCCCGCCGCTGTCCTACTGTGCTGTCCCACTGTGCTGTCCCACTGCCCCCACTGTCCCCACCACTCTCCCCACTGTACTACTGTCCCACCACCGTCCTCACCACCGCCTTCACCACTGGTTCCACCACTACCGTGCCCACCACTGTCCCACTGTCCCCACTGTATCCACAACTGTCCCGCTGTCCCCTCACCACTGTCCCCACCACCGCCGTCCCCACCACTGTCCCACTGTCCGCCCCACTGTCCCACTGTCCCCACACCACTGTCCCCACCACCGTCACCACCACTGTCCCAGTATCCCCACCACTGTCCAACTGTCCCGAAGAGCGGGAATCGTTTGCCGGCGGCGGGGGGGGGATTCGAACCGGTAGTGACACCCTCCCCTTTTCATGATGGACTGGAGGGGGGGAGAGGGTTCGAACCGGTAGTGACCCCCCCCCGCTTTCGAGGGGGGGATGGGGGGGACGGGTTGGGAACCCCCTGTGACCCCCCCCCCTCGGTTTTCCGCCAGCAGCGGTAGAACACGCTCTTTCAAATAATGACACCTTCTGGCGCCCTTCTAGCGCACATCACCAGACCGCTTCGCTCGCTCACGGGCGTCTTTGAATGGTGTGCGCGTGCGCGCCCTCGTCGCCAGGACTACCGCATGCAATGCCTGGGCATTGTAGTCGACACGTGGTTGGGCGACAATGGGCGCCTCAAACAGTGACCACATCGTACTGATCAACAATGGGTTCGTCGCACGCGTCCCTGACCCGTGCGCCTCAGACTGCTGCGCGACGTGTGCGCACGTGCGGGCAAGTCCGCCCGACGCTCAGGCGGAAGGGCCGAGCCACCGGAACGGTGCAAGGACGGCGTGCGGTGGTGATCGCCGCGGTCGGACGGAGTGCAGCTGGCACGACAGCAACGCCCATGGTGCGTGAAAGTCGAAGGCATCCAAATCCAAAGAGAATGCAGCAATAGGCAAAACCGCGGCGGGTCGGGGGACACCGCACAGGAAGAGCTAGATCCAAGGCCACTGCGACACCGATCATCCAAATAAATGCGGCGGTATATACGCAATCTCCCGAACATCTGCTATGTCCGAAGAATTTATGTCGTACTCTCGTGCTATAGTACTCGCCTGTCCCTGTCTTCCTGCTGCAAGTTCACTATCCGCACTCTTCCTCATCATAGCCCCCCCGCCTGCAGTGTGGCAGCAATGGGGCCGTGCCCTTTTCCGCCAGGCGTGTCAGGCGCATAGACCCACATGGGTGGTTCATATTTACGGTCTCTACTAAGGGGAACGAGAGGGGGGGGGAACTGACTCAGTAGGGGGGGGGGGAACATCGACCTCGAATTGTCGATACATCGCCGACACATCGGCGGTAAGCCCTCGCTAGCGAAACCGCACGAACCTGGGCGAGGTGGGCAATCGGACCCATATCGGCAATCAGTGGGCGAATGCATGCCCCCCTGAGCCTATGCCCCCCCTCACGTTGCCCCTGCCTTAGGTCTTGCCCTGTGGCAGGTCGCATTATCTCCTGCCTTCACGCTTGGTGGTGCAGGAGGAGACTTGGCACTCAACGACATTAGACTTGGCTCTGCAGCGACAGGCTCCAGATGAATTCTGCTCCAGGGCAAGGCAACCCAAAACACCATTCACGCCCATAAGGTCAGGAACCGTTGCTTAGCGTGTCGCGGCGGTGGCCTCGGCGACACGCTCTGCCTTGCGAGCGGGTAGCGTGTCGCTCCGCTCCGCGTGGCGGGAGGTGGGGAAGAGCTTGAGACGTTGATGACTGGGGACTGGGAAGTGGTTAGCGTGTGGCGCCGGAGCGTGGTGGGCCCAAACCAGCCGTGCGACACGCTAGCTCAAAGCTTCTGGCCCCGTTCTTCCGGCCTACTTGAGAAAACGATTTCGGCAAACACGCCAAAGCGTCGTGCGACTGCGTATCCTGCCGCAGGAAAGGCTTGAAGCTTTCTGGGCCGCTCGGTAAACGGCTGGCGGGCATATCCATCAGATACGCCCCCTCAGCCCTGAAAGCTTTATTCTCTTGCACAGCTGTGCTCTAGAGCTCGGACCTCTTTATTTTCGTGGTTCGTTCGTGGTTCGTCGTCCCTGGACCCCCCCCTCCCCCGAGCCTCCCAGGCCCCCCTGGGCCGCCGAAGCCTTTATTTTCGTGGTTCGTTCGTGGTTCGTCGTCCCTGGATCCCCCCCCCTCCCCCGAGCCTCCCAGGATCCCCCTGCCCCGAGCCTCCCCCCGAGCCTCCCAGGGCAGCCCCCCTGGGCCGCCGAAGCCTGTATTTTCGTGGTTCGTTTGTGGTTCGTCGTCCCTGGACCCCCTCCTCGTCCGAGCCTCCCAGGATCCCCCTGCCCCGAGCCTCCCCCCGAGCCTCCCAGGGCAGCCCCCCTGGGCCGCCGAAGCCTTATTTTCGTGGTTCGTTCGTGGTTCGTCGTCCCTGGACCTCCCCCTCCCCCGAGCCTCCCAGGATCCCCCTGCCCCGAGCCTCCCCCCGAGCTTCCCAGGGCAGCCCCCCCGAGCCTCCCAGGGCAGCCCCCCTGGGCCGCTGAGCCTCCCAGGGCAGCTCCCCCGAGCCTCCCAGGGCCTCTCAGGGCAGCCCCCCTGGGCCGCCGAAGCCTTTATTTTCGTGGTGCCCACTCTGGGCCGCCGAAGCATTTATTTTCGTGGTTCGTTCGTGGTTCGTCGTCCCTGGACCCCCCCCCTCCCCCGAGCCTCCCAGGATCCCCCTGCCCCGAGCCTCCCCCCGAGCCTCCCGACCCCTCCTTCCCCCGAGCCTCCCAGGGCAGCCCCCCTGGGCCGCCGAAGCTATTTTCGAAGTTCGTTCGTTCGTGGTTCGTCGTCCTCCCTGGCCCTCTCGGGCCCTGGACCCCCCCCTCCCCCGGGCCTCCCAGGATCACTCGCTGGCCTGCCACGGGCCTCCCAGGGCAGCCCCCCCTGGGCCCTGCCCCTGCTTCCCTGGGCCCTGGACCCCCCCTGCCCACGGGCCTCCCAGGACAGCCCCCCTGGGCCGCCGAAGCCTTTATTTTCGTGGTTCGTTCGTTCGTGGTTCGTCGTCCTC